TTATGGAAAATATCTGATGTTTTGGAACAGTTCTTTGACATATTTGACAAGGGTCCTGCACAAGTTCACCGTTTTTTCTAAGGGAACAAGAAAATCTGAAAAAAGGTGCCTCGGCGGAGTTTTAAGATGCTCAGACGATTTGAATCGGAATTCAATCAAGATCGTGAACAATTTATTACTGTTTTGCAACCGGAAATCATCCAAGAAGCTGCAAAATCTTGAAAAAATCGTGTAGTCACAAAATTCCATAGTTTGAACATGATTTAAAACACACTTTTCACTGGGTTCTGAGCAGTTTACCAAAACAATTTTAATAAGAAATATTTTAAGGAAGCGATAAATCGTTAGAGAAACGTGCAGCCACGAAGCAACATCGATTTTGCGAGGATTAGAACAAGATCTAAAAAGCATTCCAAGCTCTTTTTCGTTAATTTTATGTCAGGATTTTGTTAGCATTTCAATGATATCTAATTGAAAAAATATATTCTGATTGCATGTCGCAGGACTTCATTTAAATTCTTTACCGATGGTATCCGATTTCTTGACGGAATCTTTGCAAGGTTTTCTAGGCAGAAAAGAGGAGAAATGAACGCACAGAGTATTGATGACTAGATCTACAGTTTACAAATCGATTACTTTACCGCAGTAGACTGTACTGAATCATTTAATTGCACTTAAGCCATCAGCATTTTGAATTCTCTCTGAACTATCAACTTGTATTTGCACTTTGTACAAACATATATTATTCCAAGAAATATTCGAAAAATTAAATATTAAACTCAATACATTGATTATTTATCATGAAATTTTACTATCACTTATTGATTTCAGTTTGAATGAAAAAGTAATTTTTTAAAATAACTGAACACGAATGAACGAAATGCATTAGAAATTTTCATTGAAGTACTTGTCTCTTACTGTAAGTCTTTTTAAAAGAAAAGTTAATGTAACAGTCAAACTGATATTAAAATCTCCATTTTAATGAGTTTTCAAGGATTATATGACAATAAAATCCAACAGGTAAGTGGGTTCCATGCCATGAATGTCATACCATAGCCAATATAAATCTTAAAAAGATTTGAAGAAAAACCTTCTAAGATTTTGCACGAATTCTTCCATTCACCTTCATAGAGATGCAAATGAATATCAGAATAAGATTCAGGCATGTTCTTGAATTGTTGCGTCTCTGTCAGAATTGAAACAATAAACATGGTGAAATCTTGAGTAGCTTTTCTGTTTGTAGCTGTTAATATTTTACTTACCATGCAGTGTAATTTATTGAGATTCCAAGGTTCGCAAATCTTCAAAAAACCTTAAGCAGGAACTGCTTAAAATTTTGGTGAAACTTTTTCATCATTTTTTTTAAAGCCTGAAACAGGTCAATCATAAATCTTCTAGATTCCTCAAAATCAAGCTTTGAACAAACTCCACAAGAAAATTGGAAAGATCTTCGTTCAGCCTTGATAATTTCTCAGAAAGATTGTGACCGCCCTTGACCTTCTCTATAAAGGATCCTAAGTGCTTTTCCTTGAAGAGATCTGAATGGGATCCTGGAAATGGTTAGAAGAGATTTCCATAACAAGATCATGTAAAACATGAGATAGGATCCTAATTGAACCTTCGCAGGATTCATCAGTTGAGTGTTCTCACTGCTCTTGTCTTATTCTTTGTAAGATCCTCGTCTGATCTAACTGTAAGTTGGAGAGGATGATGGCCAAAAGATTCCGAACAGATCCTGGTAAAACTGTGATAAAATCTAAGCAACATTCTTTCTGTTATTTCTGCCAAGGTCCTGAGTAAGGCTGAGAGTGGATCGAAGTAGAATACTTCATTTTCAAATAAACAAAAAATCTTAGCAGAAACTTGAAAAGATTCTTAGAAGGCTCCTCTTTCACAATCAAGTGTCCTGCAAACTGATGTTACTAAAACTCGAATCAGAGTCTTGAATAAAACATGACAAGAATCTTCACATTGAGGATCCTAACAGATCTTTTTAGGGTTTCTAAAGGAAAAACCGGATAAAGACTAGAGTAGCAAACTGACTTAAGCTCTGGTACACTGGGGCCAATCGAGAAAAAAGCGGATCCTGATGGATTCATGGGTCCTAATAGATTGTAGCATAGATTTATCGAAGTGTACCAAAGTTGTCATAACCTATCATAATTAGCTACAATTCGATAAAATCCATAACAAAATATCAGAGACAACCAGAATGTAGCGAAAACCACTACGCATAAAGATACAACGAGATCAATGGAGGAAGCATAGATCCTGATGGGTCCTAAAAATGCGCACAATCGAACGTGATACCCCAAAAAATACTGAGACACATAAGCATTTCAGTGTCCTGGATCTGCTTTTTCTTCTTCGTCAAAAATTCTGAAGTCACTTTTTTCCGTTTTTTCATTTAGTTTCTTTGGATTCCAATGGGTTCATGCATCTATTAGGCTCAACTGTTTCCATCTTCTTTTTGGGATACTTCAAATGACTTATTCTACAATTCATCAGGTTCCATCAGGATCCACCAGGATCCACAGGATCCACCAGAATCCACAGGATTCATTAGGATCCACCAGGATCCACAGGATCCGAGGATCCAGGATTCGCTTTTTCCCCCTTGCCCACACCCACACCCACACCCACCCAAAACAACTAGGGGGGGATTTGCGGAGTTCTTTTATTTCCTCGTCAGAAAAAGATACGTGATAGTTTTGAAGGATTACGATAGAACCATGTTTGTAAAAGAAGTTCACTAGCAGAAAAAAGGGAGGTAACAGAGAAGTCTTCTAAAAAAATGAAACCAATTTCTATTCCATTTGTTTTGTTCGAATTTCTAGAACATCTCGTATTTCAGTTTTAGGTAAGCGAAATCCTAAAATGTTTGGCAAACTATCGAAAGAAAAAAGGGAGCTCTTCATAAAACCTGTTTTTCAAGATAAAATTAGTGCAAAAAATACCACATTCACACGTATACTATTGTGTGTTGATGAGATTAACGCTAACATCAACTCTTCATTTTCAAATACTATAAACTACTATCGTTGCATGCTAATAAGCAGTCTATAAAATTAAAAGACTACGAAGCTCAATAAATATTCGAATTATTCACATCACAATCATTTACAGATTTAGTTGTATGTTAAGTTTCAAATGTAAAAGAACAAGTCTTTAAAAAATACTTTCCATTCTTTAATTTCAAACTTAATAGAGCAATCATATTCCTTTTGACAACTATAAGTAAGGACTTGAATTAACAAATATTTATATTTTTAAGAAAAAAGTCAAATTTTTATTCATGAATATATATATGTAAAGTATATGTTGAATAATAAGGAAAACAAAAATGCACACGTATGTTAGTCTATAAAACGAAAAGTAATAATTATTTATAATTTAGGCAGGTTGTGCAATGAAGAATGGCACGGATTCAATAGCACACATGTTCACACCACGTCGTATTCTAAAATAGCCATTTTCTCCCCACCAAGTTCCCCAACTATTTCTCACTTTCCAATAAGGTATGCCTGTCGCCGAATCAACTCCATAGCCAATAATGACAACAGCATGGTTTATACTATAACTTGAAGATGGACATCCATTTATATCAATAATACCACTTTTGTAACCTTGAAATACCGTAGAAACACTTCTGTAATTGTCATTACCAACGAAAAGTGCCACGTACAAAGGTCCATAGCTGACTAGAGCTTGTTGCATGTCAGCAGCAGCAGTAGAGGAACTTTTCATAGCATTCCAGTAACCAAGTCTTCCAAATTTCACTCCACCACCTCCACTACTTCTAAATGCACAACTGCCTTGTGAAGCCCTGTAGGGATAGTATGGGGCACCATTGACTTGCCATTGATTATTTTGTAAATAGCCAAAGGAGGAAGAAATCCAACCTCCATTACAGCCATGGTCACCCGTTGAACAATCAACAATCTGTTGTTCGCTCAAACTAGCACTTTGCTTCAATTGAATAGCATATTGAAATTCAAGCAAACAAATAAAAGCGAATGAATAACACGATCCACACTGTCCTTGATTTTTTATTTGTAAAACCTTGAATAGAAACACCCAGAATGAATGTGGATCATAAATGAAAAATAATACTTACAACTGGCACATTCGTTCCTGAAACAACCATTCTCGTCAAGTCATACGATGCCGGTACACTCATGACACCTTCTAATAACTTTCCTTGCCATGTTAATAAACGATCACTCGATTTCATACTCATATGACTAAAGTTTCCTTTAGGCAATCGAGCACCCCTTTGTAATATTCTCCACTCATCTTCTGTCCAATCAGAATGATCATTAAGTCCAAGAGCATATGATTTGTTACCTTGTCGACTATGATCAAGAATTTCATTCAATCTCATATTAAATGCTTTAAAACGAAGGTCATCATCACTTTTTGCTTTTAAATCTCGTTTGAATTGTATTTTGTATAACTCGTATAAATTCCTAACATCATCATAATTATTTTGTGATGAAGTTTTTGCCTTGGCCGATGCCAGAAAAGACTGGAGTGCAAGTTCTAAATTTCCATTTACCACTTGTAAACCAAGTGAAATAATAACAATAAGAATAGTTTTCAACATTTATATTCTATTACAATATTACTTGTTCGTTTTGCTAGTAATGTTGTTCTTTTATAGTCGATAAGAAGGTTTTTTGTCCATAGTGTTCTCTTACTTATTCCTATGACATTTAGAAGAATCCTATCAAAACATTTAGGAAAATAAAAAAATGGAAAAGGGAATAAACAAAACCACATTCGATATGAGTCAATCAGAATAAAATCGATATTTTTCCCTTCAAAAAAACAAACATATAATGCAATATGTTAAGAAAGAAATACCTATTGAAGCATGACAAACCCAATAATGCAGTAATTTTTTCCCTTACACAATACAAAGAGGATATTTCTTGCGTCATTGATGTTTAGGGAAACAATTTTGTTCATAATTAATGATTAGTTAGAGCAACTAATGCTAGAAAATAATGACTTAAAACTTTTGCCTGTTTCAATAATAATACATTATTTCTGTTTGCTTTAATTATATTTTCTTTTTCTTGTTGGTTCTTATTCATTTTTTTCTTTCTGTCCGTCTACGTGTATGTAATTTTTCTTTTCTGTTGATGATATAGACATGTATAATATGATTTCTATGAGAAAAAATCTTAAAAGATAAAAAGTATTTAAATTCCTTAAAAAAATGTATAATGCTTCAGCACAGGTTCCTTACATGATCTGATTAATATGCTGCCAGCATTTGCTCTTTTTTTGTTTTTACTAAGGAGACGAGTAAATCCTGAAAGAAGTGTATAGCCATTGAATAGCAAAATCCTCTCAGAATATCAATAGTCCAAAAACAGATAAAAAGATTTCTGATCAAATCTTTTAGGATATGATTGGGTTTCCTTGAAGATTCTATCGAATTTCTTGACAAGATATTTGTAGAATTTTCTTGTTACAGCAGAACATGTATATGAAAACATAGATTATCAATCTCTACATGTTCAATTTACGTACTGATGAGCTTTCACAACTGGACATGCTATGCTATATTATCTATCAATTTAACGTTTAATATCTTCATTTCTAGGTTGAAAATAGACTTCTATTTTGAAGTTTTTATAAATGGTATATTATCGTGCAAATTCATTTTATTACGTGGAATTTTAATAAGTCATTTTTATTTTCATTTCATTTAAAAAATATACTCGTTTTTTCGAGTATTATCGAAACTAGAAAGAACTTTTATTGGAAGATTTTCTGTTTAGTGAAACTATTCACTTAATGAAAATACTTATACGATGAATAAACTCAAAAATAACATGATAATTTATTATTTTTCAATCTTTTTTTTCGATTACATTATAAAAAGAAACTCCCGTTCGACTCTACTGTGAATCTGGAAACAATTTTTATATAAATTGGGGAATGATGAAATATTTCTGTAAGCTTCATGTAACATTCATTTCATTTCTTTATGTAAAAACCCAAATTTAGATGAAAATAAAAGAACTCGTAAATCGTTATTTAACTGTTAGAATTTTCTTGTGGACCGAAGAATAAGACAGCATGATTCTAACAAAATTTTCTTTTGATTGTTATCGAAATGTTGCTGAATATTAGTGCTGAAATCCCATTGTGGTCAGCATACGTTTAAATCTTCAACAGATCCTGAAGTAAAACTAGCTAAAAATGTGAGAGAACTGTTTCATTCATTCGTGCATTTCTCCTCACAAGATCATGAAAACAAAATTTTAAACTCTCTAAACATAAACCTAGAAAGATTTTAACTGTCTTCTTATATTTCCTCATCAAAGTTCTAAGTATATATCTGCTTTTGTAAAAGACTGAAAATGCCTATTCTTGGGCGTTTCTGTGCAGGATTCTGATCGAAGCGTGTCAAAATTACTCACTTAAGAATTTTTACTAATCTTGTTTCATTTCTGGTAAGATTCTTTTCTGATATAACATAATTGTTGACAAAATCATTATACAGAGATTCAGAACAGATTTGGGTGTAGGTATAAGTACGGGCACAAAATAGCTTTACATTTAAATCCATATCTACATCCGCACATAGAATAAAAATGCTGGAATAAGCCGTTGAGTAAAACTAAAAGCTATTGCTAATTCTTTGCTATGACTACATAAAACTAATTGAATAGTTTTTTTCTTCTTGTAATGCACTGATTACCGAAGAGAAATCACACTTGCAATCATGTTCAATCAACCCAGATGTTATAAGAGCGATCTCAGCATGGATTTCTGATCACTGAAGATGAGAACGATCATGAGCTTTGAATATCTAGCAAAGTGGCTTAATCTTCTTCATTTTTTAATAATTCTAAGAACTATTTAACCACTATTTCATCATTAGCATTAATCTATGATAATCATATTTTCACTTTTGTTCCTAATCCTTTTATCTGGTTAGATTTGAAATTTTTTGTTACTGGATATGCACCAACAAATGAATATATGTTTCATAGAAGAACTGCATCTAATAGAAGAAGTTATATTTAATCAGGAAACAAAGTTTCTATTTGGTTATATATCTTTTCAGATAAGATTTTATTGCGATTATTATGTGCACAGGATAATAAAGACACTAAAATAAAAAGTAGAACGTAAATAAATACAAAATACATCAATATGTAATACTATGAAAAAAGACTTGCTATACATGATAAAACTTGGGGAATTTGTCTTTTTTATATTCATTGATGAACCCTTCTGCTTTATCGAATAAGTATAAACGATTTAAAAAAATCAGTTTTAAATACAATAAAATATAATTATAGCTAAAATAATAAAATAGAAAAATAAACCATAATAGTTATTATTGTTTCTGTTTTCAAAAAGGAATCTCATGAAAAATAATATGAGCTTCATGAAGAAGATCCGAAAGAGAATGAGCATTTAATATATAAGCATTTGAAACTGAATCACATAGATTATTCGGCATCTGTCCGTATTATTATATAGCTTCATGATGCATTCAATTAAATCGAAAGCTATTAACTTCAAAAAGGATATTATTAATTTATGCAAAGAACACGAACACCCAACTTTGTAAAACGGCATATAAGTCATCTTGACAAACACCCACATCTAGGAGAGTTATGCATACAAACATTGACAAACACTCACTTTGCAGGAGCTCTAGAAAAAATAAACCGTCAACAAAGACCAAAAAATGATCCCTCTCAGCACAAACACTTCAACTTGTCTTGACAAACACTCACAGAACTCCATAATCTACATTCTAACTCGAATAAGTGCCATCTCCGAAAAACTTTTCTTAACAAACTGTCCTCTAGAAACATATAAGACCGAGCAAAAAATGACCCCTCTAAACACAAACACTGAGGATCTCTCTTATGGTCCGCATAAACACCCCAAGTTGTCTTGACAAACACCCACAGAACTCCACAATCTACATTTTGACACGAATGAGTGCTCTCTTCGAACAACTTTTCTTAACGAACTTTTGTTTAGAAACGTGTCTTAATATAAAGAAAATTCTTCAAATAAGTAAAAATGCATGAAAAGATGAGATAAAATATTAAACATTTGGTAATATTGAATTAGATTATTTTAAGGATTTTCTTTATATGAAGAGACGTTTCTAGAGAAAAGTTTGTTAAGAAAAGTTATTCGAAGATAGCACTTATTCGTGTGAAAATGTAGATTATGGAGTTCTGTGGGTATTTGTCAAGACAAGTTGGAGTGTTTGTGTGTATCATAACAGAGATCCTGGGTGTTTGTGTTGAGAGGGGTCATTTTTTGGTCTTTGCTGACGGCTTATTTGTTTCTCGGACTTCTGCAAAGTGGGTGTTTGTCGGTGTTTGTGTGCATAACTCTCCAAGATGTGGGTGTTTGTCAAGATGACTTACATGCCGTTTTACAAAGTTGGGTGTTTGTGCTGTTTGCATAAATTAATAATACCCGGGTGTGGGTATGGTCAGCTGTAGAAGAAATACAAACATCCATACGCATCCTCAAGATTTTTTTCTCTGTTGTTTCTCTGAGCTCTTATTGCTACCTGCAATTATCATTGAAACACTTTGTCTCGGTTTAATAATTACATCTAAGAAGAGCGAGGATGTGAGTGTGGATCCCCTTGAATAGAATACTAACACACACAACTACATCGACTGATCCTCACACTCGCACTGACAACCGCATTTACATACCCTCACCAATGAGAGAAAATTTAAGAGCATAAGAATCAAATCATTCTCAATGAGAAGTAATAATGCTGCCAGTGGGTACGACCAATGGTCGAAACTTGAAAAAATGCTGTCTTTTCTCGATTGTATTAGGGTGTCAAACGCCTTGAAAACAACCGCATATTGAAATCTCAAAAATGTTTCCACTCTAAGTCAAAATGCTTCGGATGTGTCCTGATTCACAACACATTCCAATTCCAAGACACATTCGAGCACGACAATGAGGTGCTCGTTACGACACATTTTATCCAGCAAGCGTACGACACATCCGACACATTCTGACATCACTATTCGAGTCTAGGTTTCACCATATCTATAAATTTTTTTCTTTCGTGCATTATATTCATCAATATTTAATTAGTAAAATTAACATCACTGCTTAATGCAACAGTGTAAACCAGACAGATCTTGAGATCCAGCCGTGTAAGGCTAGTCAGATCTTAGCCGGACTATTGCCAGGTAGACCTCTCTTTAGATGAGGTCACTATTTCTCGAAATATTTACAAGTAACGTTCATCGTCAAGCGATTCACTTAGCCCTAGACTGATAGAATACATGTACGGATGTAATAGCATAAAAAGCTACATTAAAAAAGTAATACGTAGAATTGATAATATGACCAGTATATCTTAGACGAGCAGAAAACTTAATTTGGAGAATTCTCACTCTAAGTAAAGATAATGCATTTACAAATTTAATTTTTTTTGTCGTTTTTGTTTTATTTGTTTTTGCTTTTATAAATATAAATAGCGCCCAATAAGATTAGACAACAATACGATTTTTTTATAATTATATTGGCGCTATTTGTACGTACAAAAATATGAATTATATTATTCATAAAATTTGAGTTTTATTAATCAATATTTTATGCTTAAATTCGCGCATTAATTCCAAACTATTAATAAATTAGATATTCATTGATACAACATTGCACAATCAATCCTACAATAATGAATAATTTAAACGATTTCTTTAAATTCATACTGCTCATTTGGTCTGACTATCACTAATTAAATGCTTTTGTAAGCCGTTTTACACCACTACCCGAATTATAGTTATTCCATTGACATTTTACCCATGATTATTATGGGTTCATTTACATCAGTCTTTAGATGGTCATTTGTACCATAGTTACCGGAATAGTTGTTTGTACCATGGTTGCTATATGGTCACCTGTGCCATAGTTACGTGGTCGTTTGTACCAAAAAAATGACCGTTTGTGCCATAGTTACATGCTCATTTGTACCATAGTTACCTAGTTAATTTTAGGAAAAAAATGGTCGTTTGTGCCAAAAAATGGTCGTTTGTGTCAAAAGAATGGTCACTTGTGC